TTCGAATTTAAGAAGACAGAGAGCGATCAAGATCGCTCCACAGTTTCACACCACGCTCAGAGAGTGCATGAAGTGGGGATTTGAGTGCAAATCCAGGTGAATCGAAGTGCAAAAAGTGAAGAGTTTGCAAGGAAATTAAAATACATTGAAATGGAAAATACCCGAGAACGAAACCAAAAGATTAAACACGTTTGCCATGTGTTCCGGCAAATATGCTTGTCCAGTTCTTCTTCACTGAGTGATGGTACGACTGGACTATTGTCCTCAAATCTTGTAACTGCGAGCTTTTAGAACGATGGAGGAAGGATTGACATTGCGACCCAAAAGGACCCAAAATTTCGTAAAGGAAACCTCGTTCAAAAAAAAAAAAAGGCACATTTGGAAAAGGTGGGTACCAATAGATAGCTGGAGGATACACTGCTAAAATCATGGATAAGGGATATTACTACTTTTATTTTGCATTCAATTTCTACAAGAGGGAAAAAATCATACAAAACAATTGTTATTGTGCTCATACTGGTAACTACTAGAAATAGTTGGAACACTTGAAGAAGATGAGAAAGTTTCTAGTTCGTTCTCGATCTCGCCATCATCAAGTGGCTTCTCTGTCGGATAAAGAAGTGGTTTTGGGGGAAGTTGTAGTTCATCAATCTCTCCTTCTAGCATATTAAGGACCCGGCTCATCGATGGTCTATCACTAGGGCTCAATTGTATACACCAAAGAGCAACGATTATCATCTTCCTTGTTGTCTCTCTTTCCTCTTCTGTGGCATCAACCATTTCATAGCCCTTTTCTTTGCCGAGTTGATCATAACCCACAAAGGAAAATAAATTTGACTTGAATCCTCTACATTTCCATTTACATTTCTCCTTCTACCGGCCATTTCCATTAGCATCATCCCAAAACTATAAACATCGGCTTTGTAAGAAATGCCACCAATATCCTTATAGAATAGTTCAGGAGCCATATATCCCAAGGTTCCTCTTACTGCAGTCAACGGTACTATGCTATGATCGGTGGGGTAAAGTCTCGCAAGTCCAAAGTCAGAAACTTTCGGAATGAAACTCTCATCTAGGAGAATGTTGTGAGGTTTGATATCATAGTGTAGAATTTGCATGTCACATCCCCGATGAAGGTACTCTATTCCTCTAGCTATGCCAAGAGAGATCTTATACATTTTGTTATGATCAAGAGAATTATTCCCATCCTTATAGAAAATGTGCTTATCCAACGATCCATTCGGCATGAAATCATAGACAATAGCTTGTTTGGAGTAATCAAAGCAAAAACCAACAAGTTGCACCACATTAACGTGGTGGATCCTTCCAATTGTGGCCACTTCGCTTATAAAATCTTGCCCGTTAGATTTTGGTTTGTTCAAAATCTTAACCGCAACTTCATTGCCACTTCTAAGTGTTCCTCTGTACACAGAACCGAATCCCCCTTCACCTAACTTGTGTTTGAAATTCTTTGTGATCTTCTTGATATCCGAGTAAGAGTGCCTAATGGGCAAAAAGTTATTGTGAGCTCGTAGAAATTCTTCAATGTTTGCGTCCATTGCTTGGTGCCTTCTCTTCCACTTATAGACTAGAAGTATCAGCACACATGGAGCGCCAAATATGAATTTTGCTGCCAGGAAGTGAGCTGTATATAAAATTGCCTCAAGATTAGTGTAAAGTATAGTCTTCTTTATTTGTTATAAAGCGCATACAAGGAGTGTTTTCTTCACATATATGTACGCTAGTGTTTCGTGGATGTGAGGAAAAATGAATCGTCCCTACCGAAGACAAAACCGGCATTAGGAACTGTATTCAGTGCAACATTTAGCGCCGTACCCCAGGAAGAATTGTCTATAGAAAGCAAGAGATTAAGGCATATAATCAGAACCGAGTAATGAATGAAAAGCACGTATAAGGAAAGAAGTATTATTATCCTAATTAACTAAAAACCTAAATATAAATTAACAACTTTCGTAGCAAAGATGTGTAAGGATAATAACTGTTCATCACAAGTGTAATGAATTTTAATTCATGACAAGAGCTATAGCTAGACCCAAATATTAGCATATTGATCAGGTAAAGTTCTTCGATGGAAAGGCATACTTACAATTGTAGTAGGGTTTGCATCGTTTCCCACCATATCGGTACCCTAAGAAGCAAAAGTGAAATAATTTCTTGTACGGCCGCGGCCAGACCCAGATAAAAAACCCATCGGCCATCGCATTGTGGATGTCGGTGTAGGAGATCGAGATTGTATGATTCTCGCGGGACGATGCATCTATTTTTTTCCCTAAATATTCTGCTGCAAGTATTGACGCGGTTATGGTGCAAAAATCCTCAATATCCCTTGCCGTTGCATCGATGACAGCGTATATATAATACCCTTTTACAGCTATACATGGTTCGACGTCAATATATGAAGGAGATCTCACCTGCTTTGAGCAAGACATAATGGTCACCATGGGAAATATAGAAGAGATGTCGTACGGTTTATATTCTTCACCACTGAAATTAGAGGGCATTAACGGGTGGAGAGGAAGGGAGGAACAGTTGCCCTTTTGCAGCCCGACATCGACCACTTCCATAGTACCAGCAAAGATATCCCAAGAGTTGTCCAGAGGGATTATCTTTTTCACATGATATCGGCCACTGTACAAAGATAACAACGTGCGGTTATCTTCACATGCTAGCTCGAATCTCGAGTCACCGCAGCCTTTCGGATCGTCTTTCAATTGAAAGGGATAGCTCAAGTTTCCAACCTCCCCGCACGTTGAAGGGGCACACGGGCGATTATCCCGGGCATCGCAACTAATCCCAGCTTGTATTATGAGAAGAACGAGTAATAGGAAGGGCTCCATTTGGCACCTGAGTAAAGAGAATTTGTGCAATGGAGAGAGATTTTTGTTTGGCTTTGTTATTTGGTGAAGAGGCTCGATTGAAAGGGGATGCATCTGGAGAGATGTATGCTGATTGAAGAGTTGGAGTTGTCTTTGGAAAAAGCCCAAGTCAAACAATGACCAAGAGCTGTCCAAAGTCAAGAAAGTGGAGCTTCAAAGCACATTCCGACGTAGTGGGCAGACAGTGGCTAACAAATGCACCAGAGCATCTGAAAAATGCTTTCCAGATGAAAGGACTATAGATTATATTGATTAGTATCATATCCGTATTGTTATTGGTTAATTATACAATAAAGTCCCTACAAGTATCAACTATAGTTTTTGTAATGGTTAATATTTCTTCACTCACCACCCTTCTAATTGGTGAGTTTCAAAGTATTAGAAAGTCCAAACCGAAAGTTTAACTTGATAGATTAGGGCGTGTTATTATATTTAAAAATTCTAATACTCTCACTCACGTGTAGGCTGGACTTTGGCATAAGCTTAAAGTGTGGAAATATGTAATATAGGAAATTAATAGGGGATGAAAATATTTGAACTCAGGACTTCCTACTCTAATTTTATATCGAAAAATCCAATCAAAAAACTTAAACTCATAAATGAATCCGTGGTTTAATATTCAAATATCTAACACACATGTAGACATAATCTTCATTTAAGTTGAATAAGGGTGATGTCCACAACTTGTAGTCCACTGTACTGAAGGATGGTCGGAGGAAGTTTTCTTCAATCAGGATTGGAGGAAAGTATGAATCCTATTACAATCATACATCACAAAAAATACACGTCGAGTATTGAAGTACACATAAAAATTATAATATACAACTGAAATTATGAGTACCGAAAATTTTATTTTCAAGTGTTTCGAAGTAAGTAATATTTTGAAAAGCCTAAGCAACGTCGTGACGTGAGAAGAGAGATATTTGTTCCTCGTTTGATGCATGCATTTCCTGTTTCAACGAAATTATTAAATTATGTATTTGTATATTGATAGAATATTTATATAAAAAAAACTAATTTTTAGTAAGAAAAAAATGATTGCGATCCCTTAACCCTATTCTTTCAACAATGGTAATGAATTACTTTTGCGCTCCGACGTTTTGGTGAAATTGCATTGTTACATGATCGAGAAGATCAGTCGGGGGTGATCTGTCATTGAAATGTCCAAGTCAACCAATTAACACAAAGTCAAGTCGAGAAAAGCATATTGTGTGGACCAATCAAAGGTTTCATCAGTGGAAACTATGCAGAGATTGTTGTACATAGCTTTCATGTATTTAAAAGGAACGAAACTTCTCCGCGATTGCTAAAGTCAGACATTTTTGGCAAATCCGTTCTCACTAGGAATTAGCTTTTAGTATCTTAAAACTGAACAAAAGGAAAGGAAAAGCAATTCCAAATGGTCGTCCCAGTCTCGGGCCCAAAATTGAGCTTGAAAAGGTTATGCCCAAAATTTTCCAGGACAAGAATCCCTAGAAACTTCATTTGTGAAAATGTAACGAGCTCTTACGATTACGAACTCTATAAGGAAACCGCTTGTCTAGACCTGCCCATCGATCAGGCAACGTCCAAATCTGACCTGCTCAATCGGCTATCAACTATGTCCAAACTCCTCTAAATCATAATTTGGCTCGTCAAGCCTTAGTGCCCACAATTTAGATCTGCTCAGATCAAGAAGTATAGATCTCACACAGCCAATCAAAAAAGTTCACATTTTGAGGCCGAGGCCACTATCCACCCTAGACATGACCCCTAGGTCTGGCTCACTTGTTTAGTAGGTCTAAGGTCGGCTTTAGAGAGGGCCAAAAATAATTTTTACACTCACGAAACTCACATGCATGGCATGCGCATCATATCCCTAATGCCATGTCCCGTCTCTTTTTCACATTGGGAAATTGGAGACGATTGGTGAGCAAATGAGACGTTGCTTCATGTCCAATTTTTCTTTTCTTTTTTTTTTTTGAAAGTTGCCTATGAAGATGCTCGTTATATTTGCACAAAAACATTCCCATTTGGCTTATCGGAAAGTATCACTTTAAAGTCGAAGGTCGCAACCAAAACCCAAAAAGTTATAACAAAGAAGCAATTAAATCATACTAGACAGGTTCTTAGTTTTATCCCTGGATAATTTCAGCTTCCTCTTCATTGACTTCCTACAAGTTGCAAGAAAGTTCTTGGGATTGGAGGCTTTTCTACTGCCATAACCCCCTCCAAAATCTGAACTACCTGAGACATAGTTGGTCTATCTTTCTCGCTGTCTTGAATGCACCAGCAAGCGACTCTGCATGCTCTGCACAATTCTTCCATCTCCACGAGTCCGTTCAATCTGCGGTCCACGAGTGGCAACACTTCTTCTCCTTTGGCGATTGAATTAGCTACCTGTAGCGGTAGATAATCGCGCATATCACTGTTCAGCTCCTCGATGTTTCTCTTTCCCGATATGATCTCAAAGAGCACCTTTCCATAGCTGAAAATGTCAACTTTCGACGTGATGGCTCCTCCCAAAATCCATTCTGGTGCGAGGTACCCTCTGGTTCCCCTCATGGTGGTAATTACGCGGCTGACATCCCGTCCCAGGCGCTTTGCAAGGCCGAAATCAGCAATTTGTGGCGCGAGTTCTGAATCCAACAGTATATTCTCTGGCTTGATGTCGCAGTGTATGATGCGATCTCGACACCTCTCATGGAGATACTCCAATCCTTTAGCAATCCCAATGGCGATGCCGTATCTGGTTTTCCAATCGAGGGTGTTGGAATCTTTCCGAAACAAATGAGCTGCGAGCGAACCATTTGCAAGGTACTCAAATACTAGGAACCTTTTTGTCTCTTCTGCACAAAATCCGCGCAGACGAAGGACATTGACGTGCTGTATTGTTCCGATAGTTCTAACTTCCGCAAGGAACTGTTTGTTACTTTGGTTTTGGTTCACAAGTTTCTTCACTGCTATTGGAGTTGAGTCTGGCAGTGCTCCCCTGAAGACAGAACTAAACCCGCCTTCCCCAATTTTCTCGGAGAATTTTTTTGTCGCCTTCTTCAGAACTCGATATTCAAAATGCATCAAATGATCATCCGCTGCCCTAGCAGGCCGTCTCCTCCTAATGGTCACCAGCGACCCACTGAGGACCAAGAGAAAAGCTACGGTCACAACTACAACTGCTATTATGAAATTCGATCTGGGTTTCCCCTTTTTCTTACTTTCTTCCTTCAAGCCTGACCCCGCAATCCGGACATAGAAATCTCTCAAAACTGCATCATTGGCCGAAAGTTGAACCGAAAACTTCTCATCCGTCCATATCAGACAGTTTGCAGTGTAAGCATATGCACTGCACGAACAGTTGGTTAAGCACAACAACCTGCATGCTTCGATGTTTTCAACCATGAACGAATCAGAATTTTTTGGGAAGCGTGTGTTGGGCATGAGGAAAAAATTATCTTTTCTGTCATCACTACATTCCGACGCAGATCTCCTTTTGCATCGGCCCAGACGATCTTCCAGCTTCAGATCATCTAAGTATCCAAGAGCACAATCACAAAGCGGTGCATGGCTCTGATTGCAATTAGAAGAAGCACCACAAAAGGGGTAAACCTCACACCTTTGTGTTGGCTGTACCCAAAGCACTTTCCATTCCTGGATGTGCTTTGCCCATACTAATTGCTTGAACAGCCCCGTCGGTTCAAGCACTATCCTAGACAGATTATAAGGAGCAACTGAGGAATATTTGACGTAGGCCTCATTCTCATTCGAAACGTAGGTAAAGTTTATCACGTTTTCCTCTGTTAGCGAAGGCTGAAGCCCGAATACGTCCCCAGTCCAGTCACTACTATTCCAGTAGGCTTCCGACCTGTTAAATAGCGATAACTGACCTTTTCCTTCTGCTCCCGGGATTACAGAGAATATCCCGGGAGCTGGATCATCTAAGTCTCTCCATGCCACCAAAATTGTCCTTTCGGATGTAAGTTTATTGAATCCAAACTTGGCACTGGGCAACCACGTATCAGTCGGATGATCAAAACTCTGCCAAGCAATAGACACATCCGATGTCTCCCTTAAAATGAAGTTTCCATTGTCAAGGAGCACTCCTGAAGTCAAATTAGGCACCAGCGATGTCGAACCAATCGACCAGATTTGACGCTTGGATGAAGAGAGTATGACTAAATTACCATCCTGAAGGAGCTTCAACTCTGAAGAGAATGGGTCGGACATGGGGCGGTTCCTATTCGCAACCCAAACCACCGTCTTTTGAGGTAATCCTTTGTACCAAATGCCAATGTAGTGGTTACCAGTGTTACCCGGTGAAAAGAAGCCCATCTCAAATGTTCCTCCTTTAGAGATCAATGTCTGGTTACCGGAGAGAGACTCACCGGATAATATGGTATCTGTGCTTATGGACAAAGAGGGGCTGAATGAAACAGAGACAAGAAGCAAAATATAATGAAACATGTCTGTATTCTGTTGTGATTGGTGACACAGCAGAAGCAGATCGTCACTTTGCAAATAAATCGGGAGCTGTAGAAATCGATAGAGAAATAAAACGAGAAACAATAAAAGGATACAAGAAATTTACGTGGTTCGATCCGAATATCGGTACTTACGTCTACGGGGAGAACCGGCCACAAATAATCCACTAATAAATTGGAGAATTACAACATTACAATCACTCACACACTCGAGTGTTTCCCATACCTAGTTTATGCCCAATATCCACAATGTTTAAACAACTCAACTCGATGGACTCGACTCTACACTCAAATCTCTCTAAGCTCTCGCCTCTTTCTACGTCTCTAAGCTCTGAACTTCACTTGTCAAGAGCTTACGATGAGCTCTCCAATTATTTACAAAGAAATCGTGCACTCGTTCGTTACACATGAAGGAAGTCTTCCTTCCATTTCGGCTGCCGTGGGAGGAAATCAATGAATAAAACAGACCAAGCCCACACCTTTTGATTGTTATATATAATATTGTCAAAGGTTGGCCCCCTTCATGTATGTGTACAGAGAAGATCTCATCTTCTTGGTTGTCTACCGGCTCAAACTCGAAATATAATTTAACAGTTTCTGCTCACTTAACTGTCTCTTGTTGCTCTTTCTTTCTTTTGCAACTAAGGTTTTGACATGGGGAGTTAGCTGTTCTAAGGCTTTCTGAGAACTGCTAAAATCTTGATTTCTCGTTAGCCGGCGATCTTTGAGGAATTGCCGGTCCAACAAGGTTGAGCCGAAATCTAGCAGTTTCTCTTGTGGGGCGACTACAATTCCGGCAGCCGGTTGCGAATTATTTTGCCGTCCTCCAGTTGGGTAGTACTCGCGTAGCATTTCAGAGGAGGTTCCCTGGTCTGATTGATCGAGAAGATCAGTTGGGGGTTCATTTGTCATTGAAATGTTCGAGTCAACCAATTAACACGAACTAAAGCCAACAAAAGCAAATTGTGTGGACCAACCAAAAGGTTCCCATCATTGGAAATTATGCAGAGATTACAGACACGCAGTGAAGCTAACTTAACACGTGGTGAATTACTTTATGGGTAGCTTTCACATTAATTAGGGGGGAAACTTGTCTGCGGGTCAAAGTTCGACATTTTTGGCAAACTGATTCTCTCTGGGAATCAGAATTTTTTTTTTTTTGGTCATATATCTGGGAATCAGATTTTAGTATCATAAAAATGAGCTACTGTGCCCTAAATTGAATCAAAATCCAGTAAGGCATCTGTGTTGAAATTCATTTTGGCGCCAATATATCATGAGTGACATATCATAGTATCATTGATGATAATAAATTCCGTTCACCTAAGTTTCAAGTAATAATTTTGTTAAAGTCACCACCCCTTTGCATTAAGTAAACTGGCAAGCTGGTATGAAGGTCAAACCCGTCATATTCACAAGAATTAGTCTCCCTCCTAAGTATTTCCATTTGTTCTCGATATCATGCTCCCTACTTATTTTTGGAGTTTAAAAGTTATTTATATCATATATCAACTATCCATTATTAATCTTGTCTAATCTCGTGTTTTACTCATCAGTTGTCTCTATCGATAAGCATTTTAGTAACTTAATACACTAATATTATAAACTAGTTTTAGTATAGATGGTATTACTAAATAGTAACATATATTCCCCGATTCAATTCCCGTCAACATCTCTAATTTTGGGCTAATTCCAACTTGCCCTATATGATTTCATGGTGGTCTCAGTCAATCCCCTGTTATTTATTTTTGCTCAGCCGACATGGTAGACTTTGATTGTTTTTGTCTCAGTCCGACCCAAAGTTCGTTGACCGGTTTCTTTCTGACCCTCCAAAATCCGATCTGCGTTACATCACATGCTCCAATTCTGCTCATTTTGGCAAAGTAGGCGGCTTGCTCTGTGTTTCCTCTGTGGCATGTCCAAGTCACAAGCCCATTTTGATCAACGACCCAATTATTTTAAACGTTATGATTAAGAAAGGGAGTTGCTCTTTTCTTCATATGGGACATGCGGTCCAGGTTGGAGATCTCTTGGGAAAGGATGGCCGCCGTAAACGTGGGTGATCAGGCGGCCGTCGAGGTGGTAAGATATAGGTTTTGGTGGGAAGGACGGAGCTTGTAATGGATCGGTGGAGATAGGCGAGAGACTCATTGCTCAATGCAAACGGTATCGCAAGGAATTTGCTTAACTCACACGAAACCGGGATTTTACATATGAATGATCGCGAGCGATCAAGATAGCTCCACAGTTTCACAACGCACTCATAAAGTGCATGAAGCGGCAATTTGAATGCAAATCCAGGTGAATCGAAGTGCAAAAAGTGCAGATTTTGCGAGGGAAAACATCATGTACGAGTGATAGTACTACTTTAATTTTGCATTGAATTTCTACAAGAGGGGAAAAATCATACAAAACAAGATTACGGAATCTTTTTGTTGTGCTCATACCGGTAACTACTAGAAATTGTTTGACCACTTGAAGAAGAAGAGAAAGTTTCTAATTCATTCTCGGTCTCAGCATCATCAGCTAGCGACTCTGTCAGATATAGAAGTGGTTTTGGGGGAAGTTGTAGTTCATCGATATCTCCTTCTAGCATATTAAGGACCCAACTCATCAACGGTCTATCACTAGGGCTCAATTGTATATACCTGTTGACACCTAATTTTGCTCACCTCGTTAAATCGATGTTTAAATTGTAAGTGGGCCAAATTAATGTAAAAGAGAGACATTTCAAAATAAAAAATCGGTCAGGCCGATTTGATCCTACTCAATAGGGCCGGCCCCTTTTTCAATTATTTTAGTTGTTCGGGCTCAACCTTTTTTTTATTATTATTATTTTTTTCTTTCTTCTTGGGTTTGTTGTTTGCTTTCTCTTTTGCCCCGTCGGCCCACTTTTGGCCTATTTTTGGCCCGTCAGATCCGGCCCACTCTAGCCTTTTCTCCAGCCACTTGGCCCAGCCCCTCAGCCCTTTCTTCTTCCCCTCGCGCTCAGCCAGAGCAAACAACAGAAGCGACAAGAAGCAGAGCAGACAACCAGAAGCGACAAAGCAAAAGAAAGGGAGTGCATCGGGAAGGTTTAACAGCGATTCCAGAAGAAGGAAAGTGATGGCTCATCGCTGCATCCTATGCTGGACAAAACCCCAAGAAGAATTGCAGCCGATTTAGCCAAAAACGGGCTTGATTCAATCCCAAGAAGAGGACTGGCTGCTGGCATATACAAAAACAGAGAAAGCACACTGATCAATGGCGCCTCTGAGCTCGAAATGGAAGGGGAAGGTGGCTGGCATGGTTGACCAGCGAAGGCTTTTGGTGGTTGACACACAAAGACCTACGTCAATTTTAAAAAAGAGAGACTAGAGGAGACAAAGAGGAACAGAGAGTGGAACGAGAAAAAAAGGGAGAAAAGAGAGGAACCGAGGGTGGAACGAGAGAAAATGGAGAAAAGAGAGGGGTTTTGAAGAGGAAAGCGCTTCGGTTCCTCTTTCCAGGAGGATCGCCGGCAAATTTCCTCCCCCTTCCAGTCGCTTCTTTGCTAATGCCTCCCGCCATAGTTTCCGATTGCCTCGACCGAAGACCATCCGGCCTCCTAATCCGCCCGAGACCAAGTCGCTGCGAAACCAAGCCCTAGCTGCAGCGAAGGGACGAGCTCAGCCTCATCCTTCGTTGACTTCGTCGACTTTCTGCCCTTCCCGAACCAGGTAACTCCTCCATTTCATGCTCTGTTTCATCTTGCTTTTTTCAACTCGAGAGCATTAAACCAAACTAGCGATTTTTCGAGCAAGTCGAGCGAAACCGAAACCAGTCCATGATGATTTGGGAGAGTTTAAGGGCTAAGACATTGTGTTTGGACTGAGATGTGCTTTAAAAGTGTCTCTGGAATGCATACTTTTTTACGCATACCGACTGTTCGCTGAAATGTCTGAACGAAATATCACATGCCCAGAACACCAAAGTCGATCTTGGAGTTCTTGAGTGAGACATTTTAAACTGAGACGAATTTGTATTGAAATATGGCTATTCAGAGTTTTATGTATCACGTCTGAGTCAAAAGTCATACCAAATCTCAACCTTAAACCTTTGTTTGAGCTTGTCGACCTTTTGTTTGGTAAAATGTCCGAGTAAAGGCCGAACCGAAAATAAACATGAAATCAGTCTATAAAATCTTCGATCTACGTCTTATTCGTTCTTAAGGTTGATGTTCTGTTGACTGACTCCATAATTTCGTGTGATTTCGTGACATGAAAATTGTCTTCCCGAGTCGGCCATGGACGAACACGCTTTTGCCGGAAAACCCGTTCCCTATGCCAAAGAAGTCCGCGGTTTGAGGCCGCCCCAGTTACTCTCATGTCTCGCCGTTTTCATATGCGTATATACGTTTCTTATGGTGAATCGGTTACCGTCTCGAAATGTTTTAATGTTTTAACGTCGCCGGGGTTATCACGGCGATAGCCGGAGTATTTGGCTACGGGAGTGTGGTGGTCGACGGGAGTGAGCCGGTGACGGCCGTCGGCGTCGACGGCAAACGTTGAGGGCCGTGGGAAGTTCGCTCCGGCAAGGCATGAAGGTGAAGAGCCCTCGGCGTGGTCTCGGTGAGCTCTCGGTGAATCCATGAGGAAGAAGGACGTGCATGGAAAAAGCACGTAGGGGAGGAAAAAGTAATAAAAAATAAAGAGAAAAAGGAAAAAGAAACAAAAAAACAGAAAAAGAAAAAAGAAGAGGGGGATAAAAAATCGAAAATGAAATAAGCGAAAGGGATCCGGGCGGGTCAGAGAAAACCAGGGTCAGGTGTCGGGCGGATCGGGTAGGGGACCCGGTCCGGAATTATTATATTATTAAAATATTTAAAAATTAAAAAATATTAAAAATTCCAAACAAAATTCTAAAATGTTTAAAAATCCAAAAAAATATTTAAAAATTAAAAATTAAAAAAATCAGAAAATTTCCAAAAAATCTAGAAAATTAGGAAATGTTTAAAAATCAGTTTTTGGCTTAATTTCACTAGATTTTAGCTTAAAAACTCAAAAAAAAATGAAAAATGAGAAAAACCCTCTAAAAACTTTCCAAAAATCGGATAAGTCACTGGTGCTTTACCTTAGGGCTTTTGATTGCATTTTCTTTTTAAAGACGATGCTAGGTCGCTGGTTGTTTATTTTCTTTATGATTATCTGATTGCGCACTTTTAATACATTGATTATTATTTTCAATTTTTAGAACGGTTAGGTGGAATCTTAGCTTTTTCGATAAGCTGTCCGGTACGTTAGTTTGCGAACATTCAAGTTTAGGTATCGAAAGGGCACTAGTTAGATCGTCAGTGTAATCAAGTCCCCGAACTTTAGAATCTCTGATTTTCGCGCGTATCGAAACGACACTCCCGCGTCTCGATCAGGATTTCTAGCCAACTCTTGATCATGGCTAGTGGCAACTCCAATGGAATGCATAGTTTAGATAATTCTCGTCGCATAAGGTATGAGACTTGGGAGCGCCTCGGTCCTTGGATTAATGAACCATTTGATTCGTCTTTTAGACGAATCAATCGATGTTCGTATCTATTGACAAATCTCTCTTCCATCGTGTGAACCGCCGCCACGCCGCTCTTCCATCGTGTCCGCGACGCCCCTGTTGCCACTCCCACGTTGCCCCCGCCACCGAGTCCGACCAGCGCCCACCGAGCTCGGCTGCTGTTCTGCCCCGCGTCACCCTTGCTGCCCGCTGCCGTCCCTAGGTGACCCGAGCTGCTGCTGGTCGAAGCCTGCTCCCGTTGCTGCCGACGATCCACTGCCACTGCACCAGCTGCTGCTGCCGGCGCTCGCGTCCCACTGCTGTCTAGACCAGCAGTCGAGGAGCCTAGATCAACGCCAAACACGGTCAAACCAAGCGTGTTTGGTAATTGAATAGACATACCCACGTGAAGTTGAAGAAAGAGTCCAGGTGTCTAGCAATTCCACTAGTCCATGTTCGTGGAATTTTGGTCAACAGTTGCTGCCCCCAGTTTCCGTTGCTGCTTCCTTCGCGGCGCTTGAGAATCCCGCTGCTGTTGTCGCCGCTGCACTCACACCATTGCTGCTGCTGGTCGCTACCCTTGCTCGCACGAGGCCAAACCCGACGCCGGCTGTTCCTTTGGTTGCGTTCCGTGCGAGGCCTGCCCCACCACAACGCCGACATCCTCCGAAGTTGCTGCCATCCCCGACGTTCGTCGCCCTCCCGTGGTGAGCTGCTGCTGTTCCGCGACTTCCGAAGACTGCTCGTCGCTGCCCGGAGACGCTCGCCGCGCCGCCGTTCCTGTCGTGTCACCGTCGCTAGCCGCCACTGTTCCCGACGTCGCGCCGCCGCTCCCGACGCACCGCCGATCCGCAATCCCGGTCCGCTGCAGATTTAAATTAGGAAAGAAATCTGCAAATCAGGTAATTATCATATCCCGATTTGATTCGAATATTTGGTTGCCTAATTTGTGCTTATTGATATCTAATTTTGCATATTTGGATAATAAGCATTATTCCAATTATGATTTTATTTCCTTTTTTGAAATCTTGGATATCTATTACTTTTCAAATTTGGATAGAATTTAGAATTTTCAAAATCTTTTGAATATATCCAAGATATTTAAGATATCTAAATTTTTTCAAGAGGTGATCGATTAGGAAAATTTCCTAATCCGCAACCGCACACATGGAAATAAATCTATCTATCAGGCTTTAGATAGAGTTATTTCCATAGCGGGTATTTCGAATTTTAGGATCGATCTGTCAGGCTTCAGATCGAAACTTAATTCGAAAGATTTAGCGGTTATATATTTTTTTTACTTGATTTTGATTTCGAATTTTGATATAAAAAAATGCCAAAAATATTACTTTAGAATAAGTTAATTTCTTTAGTTTAAAATTGCATGTTTAGATAATTGGCATTTTTAATTCCGAATTTCATTAAAGCAAAAAATACAAAAAAATAATATGCCCGTCATTAGAAATAGGTCATGTCGTCGCATGACATATAGTTTGCATGTTAGGTTGCATTAATCGCATGTCAATTTTTTGCACGCCATTACATATAGGTTAGCTTTCATTTAAATAAATAAATAAAAATCAAAAAAGAAAATTTCTGCACCTTTGAACTCTAAGTCAAGATTTATCAAAATTGTCAAATTAAGTATTTTTTTTGAAATTGGTACCGAAAGGGCGTTAGGGAATCTAGCGTAACCAAGTCCCCGAATCCATAATTTATGGTTCGCAGAAATAAAATAATACTCCCGCTATTTTATTTAGGTTTCTAATCAACCTACCTTAAATGATTAGTGGCGACTCCCATTGAAAATATTTGCATGCTCATAATTGGACCTAAGTTGCGAATTGGTAGAGTTTGGGAGAACTCGAGCTAGGTTAGTTAATTTAATTGATCTAGTAATCCATTAGCCTAAGATCGGAAAACCCGATTTTTTTAGGTCGCGACACTCATTGTCATTCTTTCCTCTTTCGTGGCATATACTGTTTCAAGCCCCTTTTCTTTGCCGAGCTAATCATAAACCCACAAAGGAAAATAAGTTTGACTTGATGCCCCTGCATTTCCATTTACATTTCTCCTTCTACCGGCCATTTCCATCAATAATATCCCAAAACTATAAACATTGGCTTTGTAATAAACACCGCCAATGTCCTTATAGAATAGCTCAAGCGCCATATATCCCAAGGTTCGTCTCGCTGCAGTCAACGTTACTATGCTGTGATCGGTGGGGTAAAGTCTTGCAAGTCCAAAGTCAGAAACTTTCGGAGTGAAACTCTGGTCTAGGAGAACATTGTGAGGCTTGATATCAAAGTGTAGAATTTGCATGTCACATTCCCGATGTAGATATTCTATCCCCCTAACTATGCCAAGAGAGATCTCATACATTTTCTTATAATCAAGAGAATTTTCTCCTTCCTTATAAACAATGTGCTTATCCAAAGATCCATTCGGCATAAAATCATAGACAAGAGCTTGTTTGGAGTAATCAAAACAAAAACCAAGAAGTTGCACCACATTAACGTGATGGATCCTTACAACTGTGGTCACTTCGCTTATAAAATCTTGGCCGTTAGATTTTAGATTGTTCAAAATTTTAACCGCAACTTCATTGCCACTTCTAAGTATTCCTCTATACACAGAATCATATCCGCCTTCACCTAACTTGTGTTTGAAATTCTTTGCGATCTTCTTGATATCCGTGTAAGAGTACCTGACGGGCAAAAAGTTGTTGTGAGCTTGTAGAAATTCTTCGATGTTTGCGTCCATTGCTTGGTGCCTTCTCGTCCACTTAAAGACTGGAAGTATCAGCACACATGGAGCTCCTAATATGAATTTTGCCGCCACGAAGTGAGCTGCGTAGAAAATTGCCTTAACGATTGTTGTAGAGCATAGTCTTTTTATTCGTTATAAGGCACATACAAAGAGTGATTTCTTCACATATGATGCGTGAGTGTTTCGTAGATGTGAGACAAAAAGAATCATCCATACCGAAAACAAAGCCGACATTAGGAGCTCTATTTAATACAACATTTAGCGTCGTTCCCCAGGATGAGTTGTCTACAAAAAGCAAGAGCTTAATTAAGACATATAATCAGAACTAGCTGAGCAATTTATGAAAAATACGTATAAGGAAAGAAGTATTACTATCCTAATTAACTAAAAAAATAGGTATGAGTAAACAGCAATCGAAGCGATGATGCATAAAGATAATAACTGATAAATGATGAATGTTACATTTGCATAAGTAGGATTAGCATATCCTTGCCTCCGCAAGGAAGCACACAGTTAACTTTTTGGTGGGCTTTTTTTCTTTCCCCAATTTGTGAACTCTTGAAATAAAACAAAAATTAGCAGTTGGAAAGATCACGTACTTTGAGCTATTATAAAAACTTTTAGAAGAAACTACATAGGATTTTCTTTTATTTTTTTATAATTTGAAATGTTCAATGTTAACTTAGCGCAAACTTAGTTTTACTGGGTGCTATATTTCAAGTTTCCACTATCATTGTGTGAACAAGAATAAAACGCAACATATGTGAAATTAAACCAATTGCATGTATCTTAATCCCCTTGAGGGCTAATTCGATTTAGTATGTTTGCTTACTCAATTATACATTAGAATATTTAAATATCAAATTATATCTTTATTTATCAGCTTCAACTTTTAAAAAAGTTGACATGGTTCCACAAAATTTTTTAATGATATTAGAGTAGGAGGTCTTGAGTTTAAATTTTTAAAAAAGACTAGCCCATGTGTTAAATGGAGTGTTAGAATGTTTAAATATTAGACCGTTGGCAATGGTCTCGCAAAAATTATTCATCATAATGGTCGGAACTTCGCTTGCATCTATTACTTTGATTTTCAAACCCGTCAATCGTGGTCAGTTGCTTAAGGCACGAGAGCTATAGCTAGAGCCGACTATTAGCATATTGATCGGGTAAAGTGCTTCGGTGGAAAGGTGTACTTACAGTAGTTGTAGGATCTGCATTGTTTCCCAAGGTATCCGAAGCCTAAGAAGCAAAAGCGATATGTTTTCAACTGCGGCCGCACAAAGTAGGAAAGATTAAACCCATCGGCCATCGCATTGTAGATATCGCTGTATGAGATCGTAGGATTCTCCTCGGACAATGCTTCTGTTTTACCCCTTAAATAATATGCTGCAAGAGTTGACGTGGTTATAGTGCAAAAATCCTCGATATCCAAAGCCCTTGCACCGATGACGACGTATGAATAATACCCGTTTGTAACTATACATGGTTCGGTGTGTCGACATATAAAGGAGATCTCACTTGCTTTGAGCAAGACACAATGGTCACTCCGGTTCCATAGAAGTTGGAGTACAGCTCATCTTCTTCAACACTGGAATTAGAGGGCATTAACTGGTGGAGAGGTAGAGAGGAACAGTTGCTCTTTCGCAGCCCGACATCGACCACTTCCATAAACCCGGAACCCCATCAACGGGGTTTATCAATTTCACATAATATTGGCCATCGAACAAAGATAGCACCGTGCGGTCATCTTCACACGCTAATTCCAATCTCAAGTCGCCGCAACATTTCGAGCCGTTCTTCAATCGAAAGGGATAGCTTATGTTGCCGAGCTCGCCACATGCTGAAGGGGCACACAGGTGATTGGTGTGGGCATAGCCACTAATCCTGGCTTGTATTATGAGAAGAACGTTTCACAGGAAAGGCTCCATATGGTACCTGACTCGCGAGAACTTGTGCAGTGGAGGGAGATTTTTGTTCGGCTTTGGTTATTTGATGGAGAGGCTCGATAGAAAAGGGGATGCATTTTGAGAGACGGATCGAGAATGAAGTTGAAGAGTTGGGAGTCGTCCCTTGAAAAGCCCAAGTCAAGCAAAATGACCCAGAACCGTCCAAAGTCAAGAAAATGGGGCTTCCAGACACATTCCGACAGGGTTTATTCCCAAAAAAACGCAAACTTTACTTTAAGTGACAATTCTAATTCGAATTTTTTTTTATCTCATAAAAAATCACAAATTTTCACTTAAATCTCAAATCTGGTCCGATCAATATGAAAATTTAACATCATAGGATCTAGATTTGGGACTCGAGTAAAAGTTGATACTTTTTATTGAGATAAAAAATGTTTGGGCCTGAATTGTCACTCAAGATAAAATTGATACTTTTTTTTTGGAATTAGCCCCATTTTGACAGACATAAGGCACGAAAGAATCTGCTTGCCCATCGCCAATGCCCTTGCAGTTGAGGTGGTCTTGATTTACATAGTTTACGGATCATAATAATGTTTTTTTGATTTGATCATACAATAAAATCCGTGCAAATATCGAGTTGGTTTTTGGTGTTTCAAGAGCAATTGCAAGGGCAGTATTTTCCTCTCCTCACCATTATGATCGGTGAATTACAAGTTGTGGAAATCACTTATATTCAAATTGCATGAAGTTTTCTTCAATAAGGGTTGGAGAAAAATATCGACCCAATTACAATCATAAATTTAAAAAATTATATGCCGAGTATTGAAATACACATAAAGATCAAAATAAGACAATTGAAATTATGAGTGCCGAAAATCTTATTTTCAAATGTTTATTTTCAAAGTAAGTAATTTCTTTTAAAAAGCCTAAGCAACATCACGACCTAAGAAGAGAGATAACATGAGGTCAACATCTTTGACCAAAAAAAATGTGGCCAACATCGTCTACCAAGAAAAGTCTCACTATTGCTACGTGATGGGGAAATTTTGTTTATATATTGTTTGTCGATCCTACAAATTTAATTTATGAATAAACAAGAGGAATGGCTTTGATCTCGTCAAAAGCATGACCACTGGGCTTTCTCAATTTGCTTAAGGTATAATTAAATCTTAAAATTTTAGGCTCCGTTCGTTTGGCGGAAAATATTCTCCTTTTGGAAAATATTTTTCCGGAAGTCATTTTCCTGGAAAATGTTTTCCCGGAACATAATTGTCCGGTGTTTAGCGACCAATATGACAAAGTTTCGGAAAATATTTTTCGCCGGCGGCGGTGTCCGGCGGCCGGCGACCGGCGGCGGCGACCAGCGGCGGCGGTAGCGGCGGCCGGCGAATGACGGCCAACGTCCGGCGTCCGGGCGGCGGCCGGCGATCGACGGCCAACGTCCGGCGTCCGGCGGCGGCGGCGTCCGGCGACCGACGTCCGGGCGGCGACGCGGCGCGGCGGCCGGCGGCCGCGGGCGGGCGATCGGCGGCGGCGGCCGCGGCCGCGGCGGGCGATCGGCGGCGGCGGCCGGCGACCGGCGGCGGCCGGCGACCTTAGTGAAGAAGAAGAAGCTCCGGAAAATGATTTCCGCTTTTGAAGAAGCGGAAGTCATTTTCCGTAGACTTAGGCTATTTTGTGAGGGGGGGAAGGAAAATATTTTCCCACGGAAAACGTTTTTCGCCCCCCGTACACCGGAAAATCCGGAAAATATTTTCCGGGAGAATATTTTCCGCCAAACGAACGGAGCGTTAGTAAGTGCATAAGTTCTAAAAATTGTCATATTTGTGTGATAGACAACCTCCGTTACCTCCATCAAATATGGGCAATGAAAAATGCTGACTTGATATTTTTTTTATACATTAAGGACACGTGAGTGCCGCATCGTAAAAAAAAGCGAAAAATTAAGGCGAAAAAAAGAACCTGAGAGACAGAGATGGTTGCAAGCCCCTACGAAAACTCTCACTTAACCACAGGCTAGGGCTGCTAGTCATCACCACGAGCAAAGCGAGGGCTTGGAAGCCCTTGCCCAGATCAGGACGAGGGTCAGCCGACCCAAGCAGGGTTACCGCGAGGGCGAATCAACCCTTGCACAATGGTGGCGAGTGGTGAGGCCTTACGTTCTCTTAGTCTCGAGCATGTTGCTTCTCTGATCCACCAAATCATTTTCAAGCCTATCCAATTACTTATATGCCTTTGGCAGGTTAGGCCGATTGGGTTTGGGTCTGATTAGTTACAGTCGCAGGCTCGAACTCTAATCCCATGAATCCCCTCTGATGCAATCCAAGCAGCATAAGATTCCTTTCCCCTTCCCCAACCAAGCTGCAAGTATCATGAGAACGCCGCTCGCTTATAAAATTGAAGACCTTTCGAATCTAAAGACTAATCATTGGTGTCTGCGAAGCGATGGTTCCTCTCAATGCAATTCTCGCCATTTCTCTGGCATATGAGATGAATGTTGTGGAATGAGTGTATTATGCATCTTGCTGAGTGTTTGGGGGAAAAGAGTTTCCGTGGAAACACTGCTGAATGACTCAATACTAAGAAACTTGTAGCTGCGATGGCCGGTGGCCCTCGCCTGTATCTCGGTGAGGGTCGTCGGCAAAATTGGAAGTGCCACCACCCCCTCTTACCCAGCCATGACGCCGCCCCCTCATTCCCACCAACAAAGAGAGAGATCTTCGACGTTGCAAAGTGCACACAACATCAGCACCACGTATATTAGAAATATATTAAAAAAAGCCAGGCCAGCATTTCCGTGACCGAAAATAGAAGAAATTCATAAAAATATCAAGTTGAACTAATTTGACATATTTTAGGATTTAATTGCACTTTTTAAAAATTTTAAAACTTAATGCGTTTTCGTGATACATTTTAAGACTTAAAGTGCACTATCCCAAAAATGCAGAGTATGAATTGTGGCCAGCGTTTTACGTGTTTCCCTTTAACCGGAAGTTAGTGACGCTGCACGTAATGAACATTCATAAAATATCACTTTTTTACCGTTGTTTTTATCACCTACTATGACGCCCCAAAACTCAATCAGCTTCTACCGCACACTTCAACCCAAGGATCTCGATCTCATATTTCCCCCAATCTAAGCCACTCTGCACACACTGTTGGTTAGTCTGCCTCAATACTGAGCGAGTAATTCACCACCTCTCTAAAGGATCAGAAATGCTTATCATAAGAAATTAACATGGCTATCAACTTCTTCGGTCAGATCTTCCAAATAATTTCATAGTTACAGTTCATTGTGCCTGCTCCTTTATCCTTAGGAAAAGCCGCGGCTTGTTGGTTTATCCCTCATCCAATCCATGAATGAAACCTAGCGGAAAGAAAGAATTGAGCGCTTTCCTTTTTTCAATGGAACTGTGAGACTAGATTGTAGACCTGTACACGAGCCAATCCTCATCAATATTTTAAGTGCCAAATGGCCATCCCAGTTGGGACCAAGATTGGGCCAGAAAATGTCATGTCCAAACTTGTCCATGGCTCAAAACCCCTAAAGATTTCACTAGTAAAAATGCAACGAGCTTGTATGAACTCTGTAAGGAAATCACTTGTCTAGATCTTCCTATTGGTCAGGCCAAGTCCAAATTTGACCCCGCTCAACCAACCGGGATTATATCCAAACTCCTCCAAATCATAATTAGGCCCATCAATCCTCCGTGCCCACGGTTTAGATTTGCTCGGATTGAGAAACATGGATCTCACGTGACCTATCGAAAAAGTTTACATTTTGAGTCTAAGGCCACTATCCACCCCAACACGACCCCTAGGCCTGGCCCGCTCGTTTAGCAGGTTTAGTTTCAGACTTAGAGAGGCCGAAAAAGATTCACATTCGTGAAATTCACAGGCTTGGCATGTGCATCATATCCCTGATGCGATGTCCCATCTCTTTCGCTCGGAAAAGGGAACACCACATAGTAAAAAAAACAGTTTTTATAGGACGTAAAGTCCAAAGAAAAATCAGGAATAGTTCTATATGTTTTTTGGGTCGACCATACTTAGGAAACTGCCTTGCCCGCAGGGCCTTTTGTTTCTTAGCCTGCTTCCATAAATAGTGTGGACTCGCGCATGGCTAAAGTACATTTCTTGACCTTATGCCACAAGTCCAAAACCCTTTGCTTGCTGTACATAATATGCATAATTTTTTTGAAAAAAAAGGAAAGAAAAAACAAAGGGGCGTTGCCAGTTGGCTTTTGATTTTGATGATCTCGATTGTTTTTGTGGCATTGCATTGGGGAATTGGAGGCGATTGGTGAGCAAAACGTGATGTTGCTTCATGTCCAAGAGTTTTCTAAGAGTTGCCTATGAAAATGCTCGATAGATTTGCACAAAACATTCGCATTGCAGATCA